TTGTGTGAGTGTACCGTCAAATCAGATCTGACTGGTACAGGAGGAGATTGTTCCTCCTTTTCCCGGCAGAGCATCTGGTGGATTCGAACCGTGTGCCTGTGGGATTGTAGTTTCAGCTCCTTGCCACTAGGCCACCAGAGCTCCCCATTTTTTACCTTTCTGATGCACAGCAAGTGATTGGAAAGATCATGGTTTGGATCAGGGTCACCTTAGTCTTTAAAATGACATTATTGCTCTCCATTGCTTTGGAGAGCTGACAGCTAGGCTGTGTTTCAGGCCATTGCACATAAGGTCACTCTCATGAGTTGAAACTGAACCCACAGGAACTAACATATTATGAGTCATAAATGTAGCACGGGGGGCATAGCTACACAAGTGGGGTTTATTTTATTTTTTTTTATTTTATATTGGTTTGCTTACAAGGTTCATGTACATTGTGTTTCACACTGTTATCATTCATATTGTGTTTCATACAATCATTTCTATGCATTGTTATTGTTGTTGTTATGTGTTGTCAATTGCCTGTGACTCATAGCAACACGTACAACAGCTCTAAACCCTACTCTATTCAGTGACAATCTCACTGTCTCAGACACGTATACCCCCATTACCCCAGTCACTGAATCAATCCATTTCCCATGCATTTATGTTTTATTAAGTGAATCACCATTGGACTATGCCCATCATTAGCCTGTCTTCTCTGGTCCCTGCCAGATATTTCCTATTTCCTTTACCCCCTCCCTCCACCACCACATTGTGCAACTCTATGATTTCTCCCCTACCCATCCTCAGCCCTCTGCTCCCACTCCTTTCCCCCTTGGGTCCTCATAAACAGTTTACTAGTTATCCTTCTATTTTCACAATAGTGGTATTATGCAATATTTGTCCTTGTGAGACTGAGCTAGTTCACTCAGTATAATGCTCTCCAGTTTCTCTCAAGTTTTTCAGCACTGATGCTCCTGAGTGCTGCATAGTATTCCATTACATGAATGTACCACAATTTTTCAATCCATTCTTGTTGGATATGTGGGCTGTTTCCATGTTCTTGCGATGGTGAATAATGCCGCTATGAACGTTGGTATACAAACCCCTGTGCCTCAGTTCTAATTGCCTTGGGGTACATTGCTAAAAAGCTGGGTGATATGGAGTTTCTATGTTCAGCGTTTTGAGGAAACCTGCAAACTGCCTTCCAGAGTGGCTGCACCACTTTGTATTCCCAACAACAGTGTCTGAGAGTTCCCATCTCTCACGAGTGTTTTCAATGATTTTTTAAAATTTTTATTGTATTATTTTTTACGTGTACCGTCAAATCAGATCTGACTGGTACAGGAGGAGATTGCCCCCTCCTTCTCCAGCAGAGCATCTGGTGGATTTGAACCGCGTACCTCTGGGATTACAGTGCAGCATCTTGCCACTAGGCCACCAGAGCGACCTTCTCACGAGTGTTTTAAGAGCTGAGAAGCCAGTAGGAGGCGAGGCCACCTGAACATCGACACAGCACGAAGCCTTTGCTCCCCCCCACAGGGATCTGTTGTTCTATGAGTTGTGCTGGACTAGATGACACCTAACAACAGACAGGGGGCGGGGCTGGAGGAGAAACACGGTCAAATCTCCCTTCTTTGTCCTTCAACCTTCCTCCAAGTTTTCCTATTGGCCAAGCCCACTGGCAAAGGTTTATGGGAAATGTAGTTTTCAGAGGAAGCACAGGCACTTGCTCTGAAGGGAAAAGGCAAATGATGGAATATAAATATCATTTCACATTCTAACCCACTCTTCTTGATGGACTCTTTCTCTGCCTTTTCTCCTCTGGCTTCTCTCATCTTTGTCTGCCAAATGCCCCCTTTTTCTCCGTTTTGGTCCCTTATCTCTGCTTGTCTTTCTATCTTACTCTGTTTTTACTTCTCCTCTCTTATTCTCTCTCTCTCTCTCTCTCTCTCTCTCTCTCTCTCTCTCTCTCTCTCTCTCTCTCTCCCCCTCTCTTCCTCTCTCTCCCCCTCTGTCTTTCTGCCTCTTTCTGTCCCTGTTTTCAGATGATACAGGCCATTCAGGTGCTCCGGTTCCACCTGCTGGAATTGGAAAAGGTGAGTTCTTCACTCTCCCCCCCACACCCTCACCTTGTCCCCCAGTCCTCTCCTCTCTCTCCTTCCCTCTCTCTCTCTCTCTCTCCCCATCCATCCCTCTTTCAGGCTCTCTCCCTAGTGGAGTTGAAGCACAACACTGCCCTCCTCCCTGTACACCCCATCCCTGGCCCCCGGGTGGCTCCCCAAGTACCCCGGTGCCCCCCCAGGTCCATGACCTGTGCGACAACTTCTGTCACCGCTACATCACCTGCCTCAAGGGAAAGATGCCCATCGACCTGGTCATCGAGGATCGGGACGGCGGCTGCAGGGAGGACCTCGAGGACTACCCACCTTCCTGCCCCAGCCTCCCAGACCAGGTGGGTCTGGATAAGAAGCACACATGCACCAAAGTATACAACCTTGGACACTGTCACCATCAGACAGGCTGACCACACACACATATATGGATGGATAGATAGATAGATAGATAGATAGATAGATAGATAGATAGATAGATGATAGTTGTTATTATGTGCTGTTGAGTAGCCTATGACTCATAGCAACCCTATGTACAACAACCTTAAATCCTGCTCTATCCTGTGCCAATTTTATTGTCTCTAACACACCTACCCCCATTACCCCAGTCACTGAGTCAATCCATTTCATTGAGGGTCTTCCTCTCTTGTGCTGACCCTCCACCCTCCCAAGCATGATGGCCCTCTCCAAGGACTGGTCCTTCCTTGAAGCATGTCCAAAGTGTATCAGATGGAGCTTCAGAATTCTTGCTTCCAAGAAACAGCCTGGCTTCACTCTCTCTAGGATGAACCTGTTTGTTCTCCTAGCAGTCCATGGTATAGTCAGTACTCTTCTCCAGCACCATAGCTCAAAGGCATCAATTCTTCTTCTATCATCCCTAGTCACTGTCCAGCTCTCTGATACATAGCTAGTAATTGCAAAGACCATGACCTGTGTCAGGTGCACCTTAGTCTCCAGATTGACATCATTGCTCTTCAGTGCTCTGGAGTGGTCTCTGACAGCAGACTTTCCCAGTGAAATTAATCTTTTAGTTTCCTGGCTGTTGGTACAAAGACTGTTGATTGTGGAGCCAAGCAAACTAAAGCTGTTAACAATCACACACACACACACACACACACACACACACACACTCATACACCCTCATTCATACCTCAGCTACATAACAGCTGTACAGACAAGGGTATAACTAAGGTAGACTGCATGTGCACATACACAACCCAACAGCTGCAGTGACAACATCCCCTTTAGACTTAGCTGTAGCCATGCAGTCCCAGCTACTGCCACACAAGTTTACACATAGCCAGACTATAAAATTATAAACAACAACAGCACCCCATCACTGTCAAGTCTCCTTTGACACATTGTGACCCTGTAGGACAGTATATAACTGTCTCCAAGGCTGTTGAGCTTTACAGAAACAGACCACCTCTTGTTTTTCCCATAGAGGAGCTGGTGAGTTTCAACTGCCAAGCTTGTAGAGAGCAGCTGAGCTCTTTGGTTATTGCCTCACAGTTATACACATCTTAGTGGTTTAAAAGTAGCATTTATCACACAGCCAGATTCAGAAACAGTTGTTATTGTGTATCATTTTGTTACGGCTGCTGTAACAAAGTAACACAAGCTTGGTTACTTAAAGCTCCACATTTATTGTTTCAGAGTTTGGGAGACCAGAGGTCCAAAATGAAAATATTGGCAGGGACACCCTCTCTCTGAACTCTCTTCCTTGCCTCTTCCTAGGTTTGTTTCTTTCTAGCTTCATAGGATTCTCAGCAATTCTTGATGTTTCTTGGTCTCTCCTCCCCTCAGACTCTGTCCCATCTTTACACAGTGATCGTCCTTCTGTCTCTGTGTCTCGCCTCCTTCTTTTATGAGACTATCACAGACATAGGATCAGGAATTGCTCTACTCATATATAATCTTGTGTTAACTGGTAACCTCCTCAAACACTGTGTTTCCAAACAAAGTCAAGTTCACAGGGACTTAGGACTTTGTAAAAAGAGCAAGAGCCACGATTGTGGAAAGCCATATCTGGCCTTCACCATCTTGGCAAAAGGGAGCTGTTTCCAGCAACAAATTAGCAACACAAAACCAATTCTCCTGAGGTTTGACGTGTCCCCCACACTCCCACACATCTTTCTATTCATCTCAACATCAATCTTACTGCTTTAAGGCGTTCAAAATCTGATGAGATAACTCACAGACCACACAGAACTATATTGGGAAAGTAAAAAGGCTATAATTTAGGTTAGTAGCAAATATAGTCAGGACAGCTTCCGAAATGTGCTCACAGGCACCTCAGCCTTGAGCCTCACGGCTTTTAAGTCAGTTTTACAAAGTTCTCAGTCCTGCCAATATTGGCTCTCCTCTCCTTAGCCCTCCGACACGTTTAGGCAAGAGGTTCTTAGCTCTGGTTCCAATGGTGTTGGTCTCACGGCCCCATATCATGTCAGGTCTCTGGTTCTCTGCTGGGGTTCATGTGGCTACTTCCCTCATCCGCCTGGCATCCTGAAGGACAGACACGCCACATTCTCTGATTCTTTGCTGCTTGAAAATCTTCCTTCCTGCTGGATCTGTTCCATTTAATGGTGGAACTAGCCAATCCCCTTATGGATAGGTTAACGTGCCCTGTTCACATATTCCTGCCATCCACATGACAAAGTCAAGCAATAACAGGGAAAATAATATTGAATACACTCTTAACTCCACCAACTTCCACATATATTTTGGAAAGATACAATGCATACTATGTGTTGAGTGCCATCAAGTCAACTCTGACTCACAGCGACCCTATGAACAACAAACTGAAACCTTGTCCTGTCTCGTGTTATCCTGACTATCTCTGCTGTGCCCAAGCCGTTTGCTTGTGTCAATCCACCCTGTTAAGAATCCTCCTCTCTTTGGCTGGCCCAATACTTTCCCCAACATGATGGCTTTTTCCAATGACTGGCACCTCCTGGCAACATGCCCCAGGTATGTGAGATAAAAAACGTCACCAGCCGTGCCTCTAAGGAGCAGCCTGGTTGCATTTCCTCCAAGATGGACTTGGCTGTTCTTTTCAGTCTGCAGTATGCTCAGTACTCTTTGCCAATGCCACAGTTCAAAGGCATCAATTCTTCTTCGGTCTTCCTGACTTACTGTCCAACTTTCACATCTTTGTGAAGCAAGTAAAAAGACCATGGCTTGAGTCAGGTACACTTTAGTCTCTAAAATGTCATCTTTGTTCTTGATCATTTTTAAAAACAAGCATAATATATAGTAGGTATGTGTAGGCAGCACACAAACACAAGAAGCCAACAGTCACATAGTTGAAGAAAGGACCAAACATCCCCAAGTATTGCCATGCAAACTTGAGTACAGCCACTCTTAGACTAAGATTAGTTATGGTGTACAGACACACATTCATATTCTCCTCCTCCTCTGCCTCCACCTCTGCCTCCTCCGTCGTCATCGTCTTCTTCGTTGTCGTCATTGTCTTCTTTTCTTCTTCTTCTCCTTCTCCTTCTCCTTCTCCTTCTCCTTCTCCTTCTCCTTCTCCTTCTCCTTCTCCTTCTCCTTCTCCTTCTCCTTCTCCTTCTCCTTCTC